CTATTGGCCTTTTTTATTGCTTCCCCGTACTGGCGAGAATGAGACATGGAAGCATGATGGGCTTGGTGACCATGAGAGAATCCAGTTAGTTATTCTTGGGTTTGGTTAAGCCCTGGTATCTAGCATTACTTATCCTGGCACGTAAAATTTATTCTTCATCAACTGTCATAATTTTCTTATTTAATTATTGATTTTATCCTTATTTTTCAGCGCTACAAGGATTTGAAAGCCAGGTATTTATCTGTAGTGTTATCTCTTATCTAAAGCAGCCATTTACAGGGTCTGTTTTAGACCACACAGCATCACTGACTCCAGCCTGTCACTGTCTTTGCAGAGCCCAGTGCTCACTGCAGGATCCAGAGCTGGCTTCAGGGGAACTGATAGACATGGCCAAACACCTGGGCTCCCTGAAGTTCAGAGTCTGGGAGAAGATGCTGGGGACTGTGCAGTACAGTGAGTACTTGGGGAAATGGCTGTATAAAGCAGAGAGCAGTATCTGAGTGGGTTATACTGTCACTCACTGGGAGCTCAGCCTAGCAGCACTGGTACAGTGAGTACTGGGGGCAATGGCAGTGTGGTATTAAGCCTATATCATGTCTATAGCATGCTTTACTGCAGTGGTGTGCAGAGACTATTTGAGGAGCAGGTGCTCACAGGTTACAAAGAAGCACTCGGTACTTTTTAAAGCTCAAACACAAGTTCACTTTAAGCGTCTTCCGGGTTGGACTCGGTCTTTTCTCAGGATTCCCATGTTTCTATGACCTCTAGGAGGACCTGCATCTGTATCACATAAACCCAGTCAGAGTATTTAATGAATCCTAACCTCTGTAATCTCTACAATACAGTTCAGTTAAAAAGCATGAATCCATTTAGAGCCTATGGCTGATTTAGTGCAACATGTAGAGCTGTGTAGAGTGATTAGAGTGAAATGTTTAACACTGGTACACAGCAGTGGTGATGTCAGCATCCTGACTTTGAGGGTGGTGGACTTTCGGTTAGGAAACTGAAAGTGTGTGTGCGCAGATCTTCATTTGTGAATATCCAAATCAGCGTAACCCAGAGGCTGCTTAGTCAAATGCAGGTAAATGACATGGACAGGAGCCTGCAAGGCGGAAGCTCAAGGCAGGAGGACAGGATAAAGACAAGAACAGAACTGAAAGACATGTTATTGTGTGATTACTGCACAGTGACACCATACCGAGGTCAGTAACACACCCAAGTCACAGTGAGCGGCTGTATGTAACAAACCTTAATGTCACATCTTATGATGGCAGTGACACAGTGACGTCGGACTTCAGAGTCGACCCCATGCATGCTGCCAGTGAGCTAGGAGACTCACTGCATTCTCTGTAATCAGAGTCGTTGAGGGCGGCACAAGGGAGGATGAAACCTTTAGATCAGAAGAAAAAAAAAAGATCAGTGCTCAGCTAATGATGATCATATTTGTCATTTTTGGTTCTTCAAGCCTTATTTGGACGTAGCTCATTTCCTGAGTTGCTTATAGCAGAAAGGTGAAATGGATACAAATGCATCTCAACCCACAGCTCCTGTGACTCTGGACCCAAACACCGCGTCCCCCTGGCTCTCAGTGTCCGACGATCTGACCAGCGTGAGAAACACTGCTATGAAACAGCAGCTACCAAACAACCCAGAGCGGCTGGTCTCTTATCCCGATCTGCTGGGATCGGAGGGGTTTACCTCAGGACAGCACAGCTGGGAGGTGGAAGTGGGGGACAAACCTGAGTGGACTGTAGGGGTCGCAAAAGAGTCTGTTAACAGGAAGGGGGGCGTAAAATACAGCCCAGAGGATGGATTCTGGGTTCTGTATCTAAGGAACAGTAACAAGTATAAAGCGTGTACCTCACCACCAACCCATCTGCGACTGGAGAGGAGACCGCAGAGGATCAGAGTGCAGCTGGACTATGACAGGGGGGAGGTGTCCTTCTCCAACCCCGCTGACATGTCACTCATCTACACCTTTAAAGACACATTCACTGGGAGCCTGTTTCCATATTTCTATCTTGGTCCAAATGTTGATGGCAGTAACCCTGGAGCACTGCAGATCTGCCCAGTAAAGGTGTCTCTGACAGTGACGTCATCCCAGTAATGGTGTCTGTGACAGTGATGTCATAGGAAATGTGTGATATGGATGTTGTCTCAGTGACGTCATACTAGCTAGTAAGTCTGACTGACAGTGGTATGCCAGTAA